CACACAGCTATTAGACTGAAACCAAACATCCATCTGCTGTCAGCGTGAAACCAGCAGACTGTTGTTGACACAGCACCATGGCAACCAAGGGGCCAAGAGAGAAAGAGTGAAACCCTGTGTGTGTGTGTGTGTGTGTGTGTGTGTGTGTGTGTGTGTGTCACACAGAGAGAATTTCTATTTGCAGCCATTATTACCACAGAATGTCCCATCACTGTCTGAGATTGCAACAAATTGATTTTCATAATCACTTAAGCCATGACTCTTTTTTTAACTGACCATTTGGTCTGTCAAATATAATATAAGAGCAGTTCATTTGGATACAGTGACTGGTTTCATAATTGATTCGCTGAATGACATCAGAGAACTGTTTGTGAAGATGGCAGAAAATGCTGTTTTCAGCCTCTCAAATATTGAGATTTTCTGCTTTTCTCAAAAAAGAACTTCGAATGAGAAAATCACATGCTGAATCACTGCTGCATATTAAAGTGTAACATGTGTTCAAACTTCTTCCTTGTATTAACACAGACTGAAGCTTCAGTGAGGAACACGAGTCACTTCACAGAGCCGCTAATGCAACTCTTCAAAAGCACAGCCTGAAGGCACTGCAGGTTAACTATGTGTGGGTCTGTGCGTGTGACACTGAGTAGGTCCCAACTGAAAGCTGCGGATCCCGTCGGGCCTGTTCTCAGCAATTGCGATGCACACTCAGATGAACGTATAGAACAGCGCTACAAGCAGAGATATGGCAGCAGTTAAAATGTCTGATAGGCCACTTTAAATATAGAAAAAAAAAAAGAATCCAAAAGCTACACAATGCGACAGTAATTAGCCTCTAATTGCTGGGTTGTTTCTGTGGAAACTTCACAGCTTTTACCAGCGGATAAGTCTAATTGCTGGTATTTGGGACTTGCACTATGCAAGTTTAATTGACCCCTGTTAAGCATCATGGTCAAATAAAAGGTAATTTACTTAGTTTGTGGCATTTCCGATCTTAATTGGCAAAGAATTTAAAAGCTTTCGCAATAGCAAATACCAGGACGCCTTTTGTAGCTTTTAGTTCTGGTTTTCCAGTACATTAAGGATATGTTTCAGTCTCAGTAATCTCATGACTTTAGTTTTTTTCAGCAAACTGCTCTGATAATTCCTCTGTAGACTACCTGCTCTGCAGCAAACAGCAGCAACACAAAGTAAGACACATTATCGTGGATATAGAGGACTTTTGGCAGCGACATTTTTCTTAAGATTTGGTGGTGGAGACCAAAAAAGCTTAAAGAGAGAGAATATTGGGCTTACATTCATCACAACTACTGGAGGGTGTTAATGTTGCTGTGTGTCTGCTGGATGCGTAAATAAGCAGCTGTTTAATATCACATGAGCCAAAGGGAGGTCAATATTGTCCACTGAGTCCAACAAATCCATTCTCTTTGCCTCTTTAAAGACTGTTTATCGTATTTTAATGTCTTATTGCGGTGCGTTTCTGTTGCACTTTGTCTTGATAGTTTCCAAGCAGACTGTTCTGTGGTTTCAGGCAGATGGTGAAAAGAGGTGCAGCAGCACAGGCAGACCTTTTTGAACACTAAAGCATGGAGACATGTCACAGCAGAGACACGAAATACAAATATGAACCTGAGAATGAGCAATATATTTCCTCTTTAAACAAACTTGCCTCGCCCTGATCTCCCTCCCCCACTTCTCTTCCCACTATAGTAAGTGATTAATAAACAATGATGTAGAAGTTCTGATTGACTAATGGACTTGATTCATAATTTCAACACACACAATTCCTCTTCAACCATGATGCAACACACCTGTCTGCACAAGTGGAAGGCCAACACCCTTTTCATACAGCGCACAGACACACACACTCAATGCATTGGCCAATGTCCACACAGGTAGGTAGAACACACATTCAACATTTTGCAATCTCTGCAAGAAGAGTGATTAGGTCTCAGTCTCTATGACTCCTTCACAAGTATGCACTGCTGACACTAGTAACATAGATATACACAGAAAAAACACACACGGCTTATCCCAAAAGTTAAAAGTTAATTCATTCACGTTAGCTGTGTTTTTGTTTTGTTTTATTGGTGAAGTGTACCAAAAAGATCCATCCCACTTTAAACTCTTTTGAGATGCATAAATTATGATTCTGGGAATTTTGCTGGTTTAAATGATATTAATAAAATATTATCAGGTGATGCTGTCTGTGTTAAAATAGATTATTCTCCTTCAGACACTTTCACATAAGGACCCAAAAACTTCTTAAAAGCCAACAGATGTCAGCTTCTAGAAAATGAGAAACTAAAAACATCTCCACAAACCAACACCGCTGAATATGAAGCAGGGTGACACACACACACACCTCGTGGATTATATGTTTTTTGCGGGTCACCCATCGAGTACCCGACCCGATCACTCTCACACACACACACACGCACACACGCACGCGGGTTATGGCACCGTGGGAAGCTTACAAATCCAGATTTAAAGTTTGCTCAAAGATAATTCATTCAGGAGGAGACTGTTCTGAGTTTTAACTTGATGTAACCCTCATGTTCTGTATGGTGTCCCCTTTAACAGCTCAAAACAGCCTTTTTCCCTTTGGTTGAATATTAAAAACGTGAATGAAACAAGTGACAATTATTTTTGAATGTCGGTAATGCTGCATCAAATGTGCCCAGTGTCTGGTAATTTTATCAAGTTAAAAAGAGTTAAACAGGATATTACAAAACGTGTTGATTTTCAAGGTGTAATTATACGTACACAAACCCAATGGGCCCACAAGAAGAAAGTAAAGCCAAAGAAAGCACTGCCGAATGAATTCAAAACACAGGAATGTATATTTAAAGATAATCCTCCTTCTTCCTCAGAAAGGGTAGGGGCCTCTCAAAGGGGACCCACACCAGAGCTAAACATTAACACACACACACACACACAAAAGGAAACATTGAGTTTCATCACTTTGTCTGACAGCAGCAGGCATCTTATTCCCAAGACCCCCCCCCCCCCCCCCCCTCTGTTCACTCCTCCTCTCGTGGAGGTGAGGCATCTGACACACTCTCGTTACCTGTGGACCAGAACCGGACCCCCGCTCACAGACCCTCCAACAATGGGGTTATGCAGACCTGTTTCATGTCTCAACACACTGTTCTGTTCCTATGTTCAAACAATAAGCACTGTGCTGTTCAGACATGCAAATCACGGTCAGCTGTTTACATATATAACAAAACTTTCCAAACATTCCCTGCTGCGGGTTTTAAACCCCAGACATCACGTGTATTTATTATAGTTTTCAGGAGAGACACACTATAAAGCAGCTTATTCAGACTAGAACTGAAACGAGTAATCCATTACCCCGTTCACAAAAAAAGGAATCGGCAACTGTTTTAATAATGATTAGTCATTTCCTTTTTATTGTATTTTATTTTTCCTTTTAAGAGGATTTTACATTTGTACTCTGCTGTTATGTTACACATTACACATGGGCCTGGAATACACGCACATGCAAAACAGGACCCATGCACAGGCATTAATGGAGAGGGGTCAGAGCAAAGGACTGCCAATTGGGGTTACTGCCTTGCTCGAAGGCACCTAGGCAAGCAGTGCCCTGAAGTGAAGCTAGTAGTCCCTCATCAGTACTTGGGACATGACGGATCCAATTGAAGGTATTGTCGCCTTATTAGAGTCAATCTTAAATCCTGAAAGTTGAGGAATAACTCCAATATTTCATGTTTTCAGAAGACTTTCTGCTTCTCCTTTTCATTAATCATTGAAGACTTCATATTTGTACACTGTTTGGAAGACATTCCACCAGGTTCATGTGGGGACCAAAAACCAGTCAGTATCTGGTGTGACCACCATTTGCCATGTTAGGGTTAGGGTTTAACCCTAACCCTAACATGTCACCTATTGAGCATGTTTGGGATGCTCTGGATCGGCGTATACGACAGCGTGTTCCAGTTCCTGCCAATATCCAGCAACTTCGCACAGCCATTGAAGAGGAGTGGACCAACATTCCACAGGCTACAATCAACAACCTGATCAACTCTATGCGAAGGAGATGTGTTGCACTGCGTGAGGCAAATGGTGGTCACCAGATACTGACTGGTTTTTGGACCCCCCCCCAGACCCCCCCAATAAAGCAAAACTGCACGTTTCAGAGTTGCCTTTTATTGTGGCCTTTTATTGTGGCCAGCCTAATGCTGTCTAATCAGCATCTTGATATGCCACACCTGTGAGGTGGGATGGATTATCTCGGCAAAGGAGAAGTGCTCACTATCACAGATGTTTTTCAGATTTGTGAACAATATTTGAGAGAAATGGTTATTTTGTGTATGTAGAAAATGTTTTAGATCTTTGAGTTCATCTCATGAAAAATGGGAGCAAAAACAAAAGTGTCATATATATATTTTTGTTCAGTGTATGTTAAGCAATAATGAAATGTTCTGTCATGCCCCTTTCACACGAACGCGGTTCCCATTCTAGCTCCGTGCTTGCGCTCTTCTGGTTCGGAACCGGTTTTTATTTTCAGCCCCCGTGTTGTTCACACCGCCCAGAGCCCGACTGGTTCTGCCACGGCTGCGTCATGACGTCACTGTTTACGTCGCTGATTTTCTCCCCAACGGCGCTCACAACAACAACACCAATGGGGGACTGCGTCGGGTCGATGATAGTGTTGCTTTTAATAATACGAAGCCAGATTAAATAAAATAACTACTTCTCCAAACTTATACTTTTCTCCAGAGTGCCGTGGTTCATTTTTTATTAATGTGTTTCAGCGGCATTTACCGACCGCTGCGGTGCTGGCCGCTGTTTGGCATCACAACGCTGTTATGAACGTTTCTATGGTATAAAATGGGTGATGTTAGCATAGCAACCAAAGCTAAACTGTCTATCTTGACTACTTGTTGCTATCGGCGTATTTTTCATTATGATTCTACTTGAGACAGTTTAGCTTTGGTTGCTATGCTAACATCACCCATTTTATACCATANCGTCCCCCTCTAGCCATCCATACTGCAGCCTGTCCAAGCCATATTCATTGGCCTTGTCCTGGCTCTGCTGTACTGGTGTTTCGGCCAGTTGTGGTAGAAAGGTATACACCGACATGACATCAGTCTGTCTCTCTGCCTGCCTCTCTTTTGCCTCCATCTGTCCGTCGTCTGTGGAAGGGAAGATGACGGAGGTGGAAGCATCGTCCTGACCTGTGATGAATTCAGGGTCACATATTGACAAACGAGATTAAGTCAGTAGTGAGAAGGAGAGTACCCATGTTCCGGAATTAGTCCAGTTTAAATGACAATGTTTTGACCCTAAATTCTTCCATTTTACTTAAATGATTATTCTCCTTAAATATAAACCATGTAAATGACCTTTAACCTCCAAGGGCTTTACTAAAGTAGTTTTTCTATGACCACCATATCTACTGGGCATTAAAGGGGCTTCCTTAAGTTAAGATTGTTAGACAAATAGAAAGAAATGATACCAAAACATCAGATTTGCGTTTTTTCAAAGTCTCTTCTGGATGTTCGAATTGATATGAAATGAAGAGATACATAACTTATAATATGATGTTTGTATAAAACAAACCTGAGCAGACTTTCAACACTAACTGAGTTGTTGAGTTTCCTTGGACACACTTGGTCACACTTAGCTTTCATCCCTTTAAAACAACATGAGTTAAGAGAAGGAGGATCAGTAAACTCATCATGGTGCAGGCTGCTGTAACACGAAGGAGGTTAGGTTTGAACCCTGAATTCTGATCATCAGGACGCTCTCCTCGCCGCTGTCACTTCCCTGTAAGATTGTGTACCACCATCATCATCTTCATCATTGCGTTGGTCTTTGCCTCCTGCTGTGAGCGGCTCTAACTGCACGGCTGTCCGTCTCACTGCTTCTGCTGGGCTCACCCTGCTCTGCTCTCTAAAGGGACACCTGCTGTCCTGACAGCCTTAAGACACTTTTCCTTTCTTCATCCTCTAGTAAACATTATTCCTCAGAAAAGCACTCGGGCTCTTACATTTACTTTGTAAGGGAAATAAAGTAAAAGCATAAAGTGATTCTGACAGTAGTCAATAGACTGAAGTCTCTGCAAAATTCATTATAAAACTATTTTATTCTAGACGTTTCTTATTGTCAAGAATATGTAAGATATACATCATTTAATATAGGTTCACGAATATAAAGTAAAAATATTATTAAGCAGGTCATTGTAGTTTTTAACTAATTCCTCAAACAGTAGGAAATAATGCATTTGTTAAGGACTATTTTCAGCAGTGAAAAGATTCAAAGGATTGCATTTTTTTAAGAAATATATAGAATTTAGTCCTTAAAAAAGGCTTTAGGTTAAAAATATGATTTCTTATTTTGATAAACTTTCTAGGAATATTTGATCGACAAAACAAATGGACAGTTGAGAGGATACTGGCATGTTATTGGGGTGCAGAAACATGTATTGTGAGTTAACACAAAGTACAAGATCGATAACATTCAAGGTAAAGACTCAGAGAAATGTAGTATTTATTAAAGATAATGACATTTATTTTGATTATCATTTTTTCTTAACAGTGTACGTACATTTGTTAAAGTCATATTAGAAAAACTTGGCCAATTTGAAATCTTTTCATGCAAAATGAGAAGCTCTGAATGAATGAAGAAGGGTTGAAATGGATCTGAGCCGTAAACAGTCGCTCTAAGAATCCAGAATTTTGAAAGGGTTACTTTCATTACAGTATAAAAGTCTTTATTTCTGACCTTATTTATTCTATGATAAAGGATTCCCTCTAAAGAGTTGGGCTTCACATCTGAACATATCCTTATTCACACCGCCTCCCTCTCTCACTCATCCATTAACGTCACTTCAGGGCTCTCCCTCACTTTCAGGGTGCTGGAACTATCATTTTTTTAATGTATGCCTCATTTTCTTCATCTCTTGCAACAGGGTTTGTGGTTTGTTTCTAATTGTTTCTTCCATTTCTTGCATCCGGTCTGCAGCTTCATCTCATGTATTTTTCCATTTGGTCTTTATTGACCTGCTCACAGGATTCATTTGGTAACACTGACCCATCCATCTTTTTGATTCCAAGTCTTTCTTTGGCCTCACTGCCGTTTCTTCACGTTTAAAACATCCATCTTTGTTTCCATCCCGTCCGTCCTGTGTTTTCTGCTTGTTTGTTTATTTGGAGTGTGTGACAAGTGTTTCCAGTTGTTGAAGCAAAACCGGTCTGTAACGTTTCTGTTTTTCTAGTCAGGTAGCTTCCTCCTTTACTTTGCTGCTTCCTGTTGTTATTTATTTCTCTCTTCTAACTCTCCTGAAGCCCCAGAATATGTTATTTTTTATTTGTCATTGTTCAGTCAAGTCATTTTGACACCACTCTTTAAACCTAATATTTCATCCAGTTAGTCAGCTTTCCCCCAAACACCAGAGCGCTGACTCTCCTCAGCAGAAACCATCTGTTGAGCCCATGAAAGGACTATGCACATTTTAGACCTCGATGAAGAATTCATTTGAAAATCATTGACATGTGAAAATGGAAACGGATGTTAATGAAATGCCATGAAAAAGCCTCGTAAGTGAAAAATATGATTTAGTCGATAGATGAGCTTGAACTCAGACGACTTCAAAGAAAACAGAAATTCTTCCAAAATTACATTTCAACTAATGAGCTAATTTAGCTGAGTTAAGATTTATAATTATATTGTAAAAAATATTCTTCTATATACATTTTTATTGTTTTACCTGTTAAGTGTTTTATTGTTTAATTTTTTAAATGCATGAACAGTCTGGAAATGTACAAAGCGTGTATGTAATGCAGCCTTTAAATAAAGAAAATATCATATTAAAGCTCATTTGGATTATTTAAATATTGATATATTGCCCAGCCTTACCCTCCCAATTAACATTAATGTTAATAACTGTCGATTATTATCAAAGTGTTGTGCTTTTAGATCACCCTTCCCAATTAGATAAATGACTAGTTTGCTCACAAAATAACAAATATCATCAGTTTTCTTTGGGCTTCATAGGCTTGACTGTTTTTCTTTTCTGCAGTCCTCTTTCCTCTGCTCTTCTTCTTCATCTTCCTCTCTTCTTTCTTTCATGTTTCTCTCTGTCAGAACATTGTTCACGTCGCTGCAGACTAACTTGTTGTGGTTGTTGTCTCTCCCCACAGAGCGGCTGGAGCCCCTGGATGCCGGTCATCGCAGTGATGGTCGCCGTGACGGCAGCCGTCCTCTACCCCAACTTCTCCAAGAGCAGCTCCACCTAGAACACACACACTCACACACACTCACAGAAACAGAGAGCGCTGTGAGGAGAGCATCACTGCTTTACTTGTATAAAGTCTAATTGTACATAATTGTAGAGGGATTATAAAGGTTGTGGTTTCTACAGAGGATTCAGAAGCTTCTCGGTTTATTTTGTTTTTGTGTTGTTGTTGTTTTCTGCGGCGGGGAGTTTTGTTGTCGTTTTTATTCTCGGCTCTCTCAGCTGTGGTGGGGGCTTCCTCTGTTGGTTTCTCTGCTGATTTCTGGGTTAATAAAGCGTTCTCCAGCAGGCCGGCTTCCACACAGAAACCCTGCCAGAGGTGGCGCTCACATCCCCGGGATGCAAGCGAACGCAACACTTTCCAGCAGAGATATTTGGTGCCAGGCTACCACAAATATGCAAATTGGCTATTTTAATTCCAAAAACATTGCTCATCCTTTCCTTTTTTTGTCAGGGAAGAAAAAATGATAAATAATGCGTTACAAACTTGGCAACGGAGGTTATCATTTTATTAAATGCTTATTTGTTTCTGAACATGCACTGCTAAAGCTCAGTAAAAACAAAATGTCTGATATATAATGTGTTTTCTACCTATTCTCCTGAGGCTCTGTATAAAAGGAGTACAAATCAAGTTTTAACAACTTTAATATTCCTCGTAATGTTCTGTGGACATTGTGCATATTCTTGAACAAATCAGTGTTTGATCAAATTCTAACTCACGAGGGGCATACTGTACTGTCTTATTTGCTCCAGACCTAGCTATTGTTCTTTTTGCTCTGTTTTATTAATACGGCCCCAAATACAGTGTAACTACGCAGTACATCTACATCAAATTGAACCGTCCGACTTTAATAAAAAGACACATTTAAAAAAAGTAAATTCCTATCAATAAAATGTCAGAATTAATATTTAGAAAAGAGTGTCATTTTCCCTGAACATGATTTGTCTGCTGGAAAGTGCTCGCGATGTTTTCAGGAAGTCCGACTCTGCTCTGTTCCGGTTTAAGGCAGCCGTGTTAACATGGACTTTTTAATATTTTTTGTCTTTACTTTTCTTTGGGAGTTTCAGGGTGGGGGGTTAAAACTTGAAGCCAAATTATTAAAATAAAAATTTATGTTTTTTTCATTCTTGTGGCACAGAAACGGGGCTTAAAGTGCCTCTGATGTAACTTACACCACCGTTTGTGTATGTGTGCGGACAAACGCAACCACACACTTTCTCGACACACACACACACACACACACACACTTGTTTTTTGACTGCCAGAGGTCTGTCAGTGTTTCGAGAGGAGAGAAGCTGAAGTTGCTAATCCACAATATTTCATCCGCTTCTACCTGAGCTTTCTCCGGGTGAAGGAGCCTGTAACGTGGTGGTTAAAGCTCATAAACAAATCTTGTAAATTGACATTCATTTTAGATTATTTCATCAAACTATTGTGGATTTAGCCCAACGATTCCCGTCAACTGAAAGATGATGCCTCGTTCATGACTAAGGACGAAGCGGATGATCTATTGATCCAGAATAAAATATTTGAACTGTTACAGGATGGATCTAAATTAGGTACCGACTTTTTATAATATCTACTCTTCTAATAACTAAATTCATGACCAGACAACTCAAAAACGGTGAAAGAACAAAGCTAATGGGAAATGAGGCTTATTTCATAGTACTTATTTACAGTCATGTTGGATCTCTCTGCATGTTCAGCCTTGTGCTGCTGCAGCATTTACATTCATCTGATGGCATTAAATTCAGTCTTTTTGTTAAAGTATTACTAAATGATGATTACCAAGGTGTTTATACAGACATGCATGTTTATTTGCCATCAGATGAATGTAGAGGGTGCACGTTGGCATGTGGATCCTAAACATTAGCGCCACTCATGCTGTCATTTTAGGTCCATGTAAACGAGCATAGTAAAGGAGTTAAGGTTCGCTTTTTCTGATCCAACTACAAACAAAATATTTTAAAATCAGTTTGGATTAGTGGATTAGTGTGAAACCTTCAGCAGGAATGTATCATGTCAAACATGACAAACAAAAAACAGGGACCGACTCAGCAAAACGTTTCTTTATAGTGCGAAAATCATTTCATCCACAGCTTCTCTCCAAACGAGCTTAAAACACAACAGGCCTTTCTTTAGCAGACATTACATTATTTTGATGTGTGTGTGTACAGGAGAGTGTGTGTCTGTTCACACTGGACTCATCGTTCGTGTACTCTGTCTCGTCTCCGTGTTTAAATAAAATAAAAGACAACGAACAAATATTCCTGATGTTTAAAGAGAAAAACACTACAGTACACAGAGAGAATTGTAAAATAAAATGTTATTGGATGATGTGCTACTAGACTTATTTTGTTAAAATTGTTTAGAGATATGAGAGGGAGCTATGTAGAGGATATGATGATGTATTGAATATGCAGAGCGATGTTTGGATTAAAGTTGTAGCAAGCTGACCCACCAAACCTGCTTCTGGTGTTTTCATTCATTCATGGACTTCACAATAACCGCTCAAAACCTGTCATTAATAAATAGTAAAGACTAATCAGACGGTGTTTATATATTTACATGAAGATATCAAGTTAATAATATCCTTATTTGTTTTTATTCTGATCCAGATTTTTTTTCAGAATAATGAAAAGGTTAAAGTGGTAAATACATTTTTCTTAAACAGCAGCAAGCTCCTATTTTGAATTGTTGAGTGTCTATTTTTTTAACATTTTAATTGTAAAAATAATAAAAATACAATATGAAAAAGTGCACTATTTCCTGTTCTGGGGATTTGGGTGGCACATTGTCTTACTAAGGCTGTGGAAATTCAATGTGTTATCTTTTAAAATAGGACAATTTATCTTAGCTATATTTATGATTCATCAAACTGTAATGTGTTTTTTATATAGTTAATACAAAAAAAGCTTTTTCAAACATATAACAAATAATCAAAGACTTACTTTGCCCCACCCACACTCATTTTTAGTATGGAAAAACAAAGTGTTTATCTGAAAAGCTAAGATTTAGCTAGATTGATCTAAATCTAAAGAGCAATAGTTGCCTGTATATCTGTCACACTCCCACTTGAGGGGAAAATACAATAATTCCCCCTGAATTGTAGAGTATGAAGAATCCTAACAAGAAATTTAAACACTCAAGTTAAGTACAAAAAACTCAAAATTATACTTAAGTACAGTTCTTAAATGTATTTTCCCCCAGTGATTAAACCAAGGTGAGGATGATGTCATGGTAACAAAGAACTAAACTTTTCATCATTAAACAGCAGGCCTGGACATGTGTGTGGGCACGTGTGTGTGTGTAGTCTGTTCCCATGACAAACATGCATCAATCATCCAGCAGGGCATGATGTCATCTTTACGAGACAAAGGTTGCAACATGATGACTGTAGGAACATGTCGATGAATTAACACTCAGCGGTCTCTGATGTTGAGTCAGATAGAGAATTAAATATTGCAGAAACGTTTTCAAGAGGCAAGAAATGCAAAGAGTTTTTGGATGTGATGTGAAAGTGGTCTTCTATGTTCAGTTGTTTAATATATTGACATTTTCCAAAAGGAATACATAATGAAGTAAACTTTTTGATACCTAAAGCATTCAGTGTTTTTAATTAAGATATAATAACTTTATTGTATTTTCTTGTAATTCTATAGTAGTTAAATTGTTGACTTTTTACCTTTTTGTTTGACTGTTTCAGCCCTGTTCCAAAAGAGCTGATTCTGTGTCTGTAGCTTTAACTGCTAATGAGGTGCTGCTGGCCACGCCCTTCTGTCAAGTGATTGGTTTAAAAGAACACAATGGTGCTCTCGGAGGAGATTCAGATGATAAGGGGGGTCGTTACTCAAAAAAAGTAATACATTACATAATTATTACTTTAAAAAAAGTAATGTATTATTTAACTCGTTACTTTACCCTACCTATACAGGCAGATCAAGCAGACTGCGGAGGGTGCTTCGTCTGAAGCGCAAATGCGGCGCACCTACAGTGTAAACGCGCCACAGTTTTCGCCGCTACGAGGCTCCACTAGCACCCGTCCCGCCCCCCGTCGACGCTCGCAACACAGAGGGCCTCATCATAAAACGTTGCATGTTTGCTATTTACTCGTTACTTTACTCGACATCTTCACTCTGGCTTCACGTTAGCATGTTGTCTTTGCAGGTGCTTGTTGAGGTTTGATGTTGTGTTTGCAGCAGTGGATAAAAGCTTCTGGCCTGGACACAGTTTGCACTTTAACCGTCACATTCCTGTCCTTTCTTCGGACGAACTCAAAAATAATGGGCATACCTCCACCCCTCGAAAGTTATCGCTGTTTACTCAGCCATGTTTATGCACTGCATGTGGACCACGCAAGCCGCGCAAATGTTAAATAAACCTACGGCGGAACTCCCTCTTGTCTGTCAAAGGGAGAATCTAGTAATTATTTATACTAGTAGGCTAACTGTAGTGTGATTACTGATTTTATAAAAGTAACGAAGTAACGCGTGTCGGGTAATGTTAGTAACTGTAGTGTGATTACTGAATTATAAAAGTAACGCGTTACATTACTCCGTTACCGACAAAAGTAATATTGTTACAGTAACGCGTTACACCCAACTTTGATGGTTACGCAAGCCAAAAAATTATTATGACATCATAAAGTGGCCAAAATCTGATCAGCTCATTTTCAGACAGGTTTCTATATAAATGGATCAGGACAAAAAGAGAGAATCTTTTTTCCTGAAACTTTCATAGTCTCTTTACACAGAGTTGATATGTATATCTATATATAAATATGCATGTTGATGTAGAAGAGACATGAAAAAGAGGGGACACATGTTGATGTAGAAGAGACATGAAAAAGTGGATTTTGCATAATAGGTGACCTTAAAGGGGTTTTGAACAGGTGGCAGACAAGAGTCATACTTTTTTTTTTAAATAACTTGTGTCAAAAACACAGCTATTATTTACCATGATTCATTCTATTTTTAATATTATCCCAACGAAAACTGACTTTTTCTTTTTCTAACCCGTCTTTTTCTTTCCCTGCATCTAGTCCTCCTCTTTTCTTTCTTTTTTCAAACTGATTTTTAACCTGTTTTTTGGTCTCCTATTTTTACTGTATTAGAATAATCAACTATAAATGTTTGGTTTGTTTAGTTAACACAAGAGACGTGTTGTACTTGGTCAAACAGCTCCAAAGACATGTGAGGACATTTTCACGTTACTGTCAGCATATGATATTCTTATTTTTAACAAACTGTAACAATAATCAGACCTTGACTTTATGAAATATATAGGGATTTTTACAGCTTCTTGTTTCAATGAGTATTTGATGCTGACACCTCGCCAGACATCAAAGTGTGATTCATAAAAAGCAGCAGAGGTCTCTGAATTTAGAAAAAGTTGAAACACGTCCACAGACGTCAATGATTCCTCCTGCGGGATTTACTGCAATCCTCAAGTCAAGACATCCCTCTGTTTACCCTGAAAACACAGAAGGGTGTGTGTGTGTGTGTGTGTGTGTGTGTGTGTGTGTGTGTGTGTGTGTGTTTAGACTTGTCATGCAGGGTTGGGTTGTTCTGTCTGAAACAGTAAGATTTGAAGATTTAAAGCCACACAAAGTTAATATAAAATAATAATATATAAATAAATACATTAGTTGATACATCTATATGTATTATCTATAATACTTATAATTGTATTATCAATTCGTTTATAATGTATGTTTGTATTTTTATTTTATTCGAATTTAAATTATTCTTACATTATTTTAAAGTGAAAACATGAATGTTTTGTGCATGTCAATGAAGTCAATGATGCAAGATGAAATCCAAAAGGAGGCAGTGATGCAACATTTACAATCCCAAAGGCCCGTAAAACTTCATAGAACAAGAGGAAGAAATCCGAGCTTTCAGAGCCGCACCTGAACGCAGCAGCAGCCTTTGACTCTCCGTGAGGTACAAAAAACTGCAAACCAACTTCAGGCTGCTTCGAGGAAAGACACACAACAATACGCTCCCGGCCCACTCTGTCACAGTTTAACCAGGGACCAGCAGCAGGAAAGAGAAGACAAGATGCCGGTCACAGAGAAGGACCTGGCCGAGGACGCTCCGTGGAAGAAGATCCAGCAGAACACCTTTACGCGCTGGAGCAACGAGCACCTGAAATGCGTCAACAAGCGGATCGTGGACCTGCAGACGGACCTGGGCGACGGCCTGAGGCTCATCGCACTGCTGGAGGTCCTCAGCCACAAGAAGATGTACAGAAAGTACCACCCGAGGCCCAACTTCGGGCAGATGAAGCTGGAGAACGTTTCTGTGGCTCTGGAGTTTCTGGACAAGGAGAACATCAAGCTGGTCTCCATCGGTGAGTCCATTCATTCGACTGCAGGCTGCAAAACTTCTTTTTTTTTTAACCCTAATATAAGTTTGCCTGTTACTGTAAAGTTCACACATATCAGGGATGCTGGTAATACTTGTA